GATAGATAGATAGATAGATAGATAGATAGATAGATAGATAGATAGATAGATAGATAGATATTAGAGTGGTAGAGTAGTAGAGTGGTAGATAGTGATAAATAAAAGAGAGTGAAAGATGGAAGGATGGATGGATAGATGTATGTGTAGTTATAGTAGGTAGGTAAGTAGGTAGAGTGATAGAATAATAGATTAGAGGGTAAGAGATGGATGGAGGATGGAGAGATAGATGATTGATAGATGGTAGATAAATAGGTAGATAGGAAGATGAGACAGACAGACAAATAGATATAGATGATAGACAGGCAGATACACAGACAGCCATATAAGTAGAAAATATGTAGATAGGTAGATGATAGGCAGATAGGAAGATGAGAGAAAATGATTGATGATAGATATAGATAGATAGATAGATAGATAGATAGATAGATAGATAGATAGATAGATAGATAGACAGACAGACAAATACACAGACAGATAAGTAGAAAATAGGTAGGTAGGTTGATAGATAAATGATAGATAGATGATAGATAGACAGACAGACAGACAGAGACAGACAGACAGACAGAAATCTAGACACAGAGAGCATAGCAATAGAAGTAGAGAGGCAGACAGAGATAAGCAGGTCTTAGTGGAGGCACTTCTTAAAATGTCTCGGCCCCCTCCCAAACAGATCAGACTCTACCAAACAGGTGGGGCGGACCAAACCAGACAGGTGGGGCGGTGGCCATCTCTTTATCACCTCCACCCTTTGGGGCTGAGCGCTGGGAGCTTCTCCACCTGCTGACGTTCCCCGGCTGCCTTCCTTTCAGACATGCGCAAGAGCCTTTGCTACCGGAACTATAACGACACCTGTGAGAACGAGCTCTCCTTCAACATGACCAAGAAGATGTGCTGCTGTTCCTACAACATTGGCAAGGCCTGGAACAAGCCCTGCGAGCCCTGCCCCACGCCGGCCAGCTGTGAGTGGCCCCTCTGTCCCATCGCCTCTGTGGTCGTTAAGCCAGACATCATGGCTGGCCATTAAGTGAATCTGCAGTCCTTAAACAAATGCTGTGTTTGTTAAGTGAACCCGCTGTTCACGAGGAGTTTTTGCCCCCAAAAAAACCCAGAAGGAAATGCCATTTTTTTGGCAAAAACATCCTTAAACCATGTTCAAGTGACGGTGGGACTCTGCAAATGGCCGCAATTGCAGGCCAGTTGCTGAAGGCCCGAAAAGTGGTCACATGACCAGAGCATAGCTGTCCGAGCTTTGGAACTGGGTTGTAAGTTCCTTTTGGTCATCATAATTTCAATCGTCACTGGGCATAACTTGAGGATTACCTGTAATTTTTCAAGCAAAGTCGCTTGGATATTGTTGTGGCCCTCCAGCGGCCAGCAGAGCTGGCGGCAGACTTGGACAGTGAGGAGGTTGGGGAGGAACATGGGCCAGTCTTGGAGTTTGAGGTAGGCTCTGATGAGTGCTCTGTGTTGAAATCAGAGATGGGGCCAGGGCCGTCCAATATCAGCTGCCTTTAGAGTCAGAGATCAGTGGGGAAGAAGAACAGCTGGAGCCTGTTCCCGATGAGCATATGTACAGAGCTGCCAGGAGAAGGGAACAGTTCAGGAACAAGGGTCAACTCTGGAGTAAAGGCAGAGGTGGGTGGTGAATGGCCTTTCCCATAGGGAATAAAGAGGACTGAAAGGGGAGTGGGGTTTTCAGGAGACAATTAGTTCAATTCATTAGGGTGAAGATCTGTTCCTGACTTCTTAAAAGGGGTTTTGTCGGGACAAGGAGTCCGCTTCATGATTTTGTGAAGCCTAGGTCAGAACAGATATGGCCTGTGCTAAACCAGAGTTGTGGGGTCCTCGGTGCTCTCTGAGCTTGGTAGCTTTGTTGCAGACATTTCATTACCAAACTAGGTAATATCATCAGTCTTACTAGGGAGTGTGATTGGCAGAGCGCAGGAGGAGGAGGAGGAGGAGAAAGGGAGGAGGACAATGGCTTGACGGCCTTAGTACTCTCTGAGCCTGGTAGGTTTTTTTTGCAAAAGTTTCATTATCAAACTAGTTAACATCAGTCCTACTAGAAGTGTGATTTGCGGAAAGGAAGAGAAGGAGGACTTTAGGCCCTTAGTAGTCTCTGAGCTTGGTGATTTTCTTGTAGACGTTTCATGACCAAACTAGGCAACATCATCAGTCATACTAGAGAGTGTGATTTGCCAAGAGGAGGGGTGGGGAATAGGACGACTTTGAGCCTTTACTGATCTCTGAGCTTGGTGGTTTTCTTACAGGCATTTCATTACCCAACTAGGTACCATTATCAGTACTAGAAGGGGGTAGGGTTTGCTCTGTATTTCTATTCTAGTAGCTTCCTCTGTCATTGTTGATGAGAATAATCTTGGTGGTTCCTTGATTAGGATGTTTACTCTTAGCTTGTTTAGCAGTTCCTAGACTGGGGTATTGTTTGCTTCTGGGTTGTCCATCTAATGTGAATCCTGGTGTTATTCTCTATCTATCTGTGTGTTGATAGCTGGCAAAGAGGTGTTTTGGCCTTTTTGTTTCCTTTTGGGCTGTCCCTTTTGAATGGTATGTAGATGTTGTTTATCACTACGTGCCTGTCGATGGCCAATTTGATGATGGCTGATGCCTGTCAGCAAGAAAACAACCCAACTCAAGGAGCACCAATGACCCCACAATTCAATTCCGAGCCATGGATGTTCTCTTCTGTCTACACCTGAGTTGCTCAATGTCTATGGAGATTGTCAGTCATCCAGGTCACGGTGGTCCCAAGGTTGCTTTTTTTCAAGAGGCAACTGGGCTTCCTTGTTTTTCTTTGAAGACGTTTTGCTTCTCATCCAAGAAGCTTCATCAGTTTTGACTGGATGGTGGGGGAATGGAAGGATTTATACTCCTTGCAGACACCTGGTCATTTGCATTCTTTTAGCGGGTCGTTAAGGTCACCTGGAGGTTTATCTGTGTTCTCAGGGTCACCCGAGGGGTGCAAATGGATGTGAAGCCTTCTTGCAACTGTTGAAAGGATTGTATTATAGACTGGAGATAGATGATGTTGTATCCCTCCTCCCTCAGTTGAGAGAGGGCTGTTCAATTTGGACATAGATGGCCTCTTTGACCCCCTCTTTCAAGCCAGCGGTCCTCTCTGTCCAAAATGTGGACTTTGCTGTCTTCAAAAGAGCAGCCTTGAGACTTTCAAGAAGAAATTGGACTGCCATTGGTCAGAAATGGTGTAGGGTCTCCCACTTGGGCGTAGGAGTTGGACTAGATGACCTATAAGGTCCCTTCCAACTCTGATTATCTGTTATCTGTTATTTGTTTTAAATGCAGATGGACGGCTGAATCTAGTCCTGATGTGTTTGTTCTCCTAGGTTGTGCCATGCGTTTGTGAAATGGCTGTTTTGTTTCCCCAACGTCCAGATCTGCACAGGGCTCACTGCATTGTACTGCATGTACCCCGTTGCTCAGTTTGTGTCTGGATGTTTTATCCTTAAGGACAAACTTCTGCCTTCATGTATTCTTGGGTTTAAAGTGTGCCCATATGTTTTGTTGGCTGAAGATCCTCCTGAGCTTTTCATACTTGCCTCAGATCTTGCAAGGAGATGCCTCTGGAGAAACATGACCAAGTCTTTCTTTTCTAGCTGAATACCAGATCCTGTGTGGTAATCAGGCGCCTGGCTTCATCATCGACATCCACACAGGGAAACCAATTGGTGAGTGTTCCCTGAACTTTGTGTGACCCACAGCTAAGACTTTTGTATGGAGGATGATGTTTGTGTCGGTGTTTCAATCCAACCTAAATGCTAACATTAAAACAATGATAAAGAAGAGTTTACGAGAAAAATGAAACCTAGTTTCTTTTAATTTTTTTCCAGATTTTCTTTTTAAGATGAATGATTCTTGTGTTAAAAAAAAAAAAAAGGACTGTTTAAAAGAAAAAGTGAAAACAATCCTGAAAGCAATAGAAATAAGAACACAAGTCATAAAGCGATCAGAAATGTAAAGATACCTAAATTCAGTTGCTGGAGCAGTGTAGGGTTGTGCAATGAGCCAGAACACACAGTTGTGGTTATTGGTTGGAGATGGCTGACTCCTGTGTGAGGCAATCTGCGCTATGATTGGTTGCTGTGGGTGCGGAGGGGGAGTTTTCCTGTTTTCCCGCCTTTTTTTCTTGTGTGTTCTGGATGCTTAGATTTACCTCATGTTAATCTGATGTTCCTGTGTTCCTGACTATCTTGTCTGCTCAGGCATGAGGCAATCTATGTTGTGATTGGTTGCTGTGGGTATAAAGGGGGGAGTTTCCCCTTTTCCCACCTTTTTCTTCTATGTGTTATGTACACTTTTTGATTTACCTCATGATGTTCCTATGTTCCTGGCTATCTTGTCTGCTCTTGCATGAGGTAATCTACACTATGATTGGCTGCTATGGGTGTAAAGAGGGAGTTTTCCTGTTTTCCCGCCTTTTTCTTCTGTGTATCCTGTGTGCTCTGGGATTTACCTCATGATGCTCCTGTTTGCCTGACTATCTAGTTTGCTCTATATTGATGCAAAACATATTTATTTATATAAAACTATAAGTTTGTCTTGGTGTCTCTGACTTCATTTGAACATTGGCTGCTCAATTAATTCCCTGACAAGAAAGCAATAAAGCAACAAATAAATCACCAGGAACATTTGAATCCCACACAATTTTTTACAAAGTTCTGTTGATCCAATGGTTCCCACAGATAAATGGGGTGTGTGTGGGTGGGTGTCTTTTGCTCCTGCTCAGCCTTGTGTCACATACATCCCATCTCCTTGAAAAGGAGGTGGGGCTTCTGTCCAACTAGCCCTATCCTCTTCTGCCCCTCCCTCTTTCTGTGCAGATATTGACGAATGCAGTGAGATTCCAGCCATTTGCACCAATGGCGTCTGCATCAACCAGATCGGCAGTTTCCGCTGCGAGTGCCCCATCGGCTTCAGTTACAACAACATCTTGCTGATCTGTGAAGGTCAGAGTCAGGGATGGCATTTAAGGGGTGGGGGTGGGGGGTCTTTGCACCTCCAAAGGGAAATGTGACAAGCAGGATAAAAGTGGTGAATCGATTGGATGAGAGGTGATACAGGAAAATGGAACAATTGGGTGGGGGATACAGCCACAACTGCCATGAATACCATTTCATTTCTTTGTAAATATAGGTAGTTCTCGCTTAACGACAGCAGTTGGGATCAACATCTCTGTTATTAAGTGGTATGATTGAAAAGAACAACGTCTTGTGATTGCTCTAACTTAACGACAGCAGTTGTATCAGTTCTGGTTGCAGTCATTCAGTGACTTCCACGCAATCTTTATGCACAACATCATGGTGATGGCCACTTGTGACTTCCTGCTGGCTTCCCCACTGACTTTGTTTGGGGGAAGCTGGCAGGGAAGCTCACCACTGGTGATCATGTGACTAAGGGACATTGTGATAGGTGCAAGTATTAGTTGAACCCAGAATTTCTGTTGCTAAGTGAGACAGTTGTTAAGTGAGCTGTGCCTGATTTTACCACCTTTCTTGCTACAGTTGTTGAATTGCAGTTGTTAAGTTAGTAACCCCGGTCGTTAAGTGAATCTGGCTTCCCCATTGACTTTGCTCATCAGAAGGTCACAAAAGGAGACCACCACCACCCCCGGGACACAGCAAATGTTGTAACTATGAGTCAGTTGCCCAAGCATCTGAATTTTCATCATGTGATCATCGGGATGTTGCAGCTGTTATAAGTGTGAAAAGGCCATATGTCACTTTTTTCAGTGCTGTTGTAACTCTGAACAGTCACTACATCAGAGTGACCAAGAGAAGGCATGGGGGAGGGGGGAACAGGTGTTCAGACCAAAACCAGGGAGGCGTTTGTCTTTCTCTCTCTTGCTGACATTTTTCCTTCTCTTTTTCCGTCTCCTGGCAGACATAGATGAATGCAGCGGAGGGGAAAATCTCTGCCAACGAAATGCCGATTGCTTAAATATTCCCGGCAGTTACCGGTGTGAATGCTCTTCAGGATACAAATTGTCACCGAGCGGAGCGTGCATTGGTAAGACCGGTTCGAACCCTGAGCAGGAGAAGCAATCAGTCCAATATGGGTAATCCTCGACTTACAACCACAATTAGGACCAGAATTTTCATTGTGATTGTTAAGTGAGTCGCACCCAATTGTTTACGAACTTCATTGCCACGGTGGTTAAGGGAATCAGTGCTGCCATGAATTGAATCACATGGTCATTAAACGAATCCAGCTTCCCACAATGACTCTGCTTGTTGGGAGCCGGTTGCCAAACACGAGGACCAGACAGAAGTAGCTTGGGGGGGGGGGGGCTGTTATAACTTCAGACAGTTACTAAGCGAATGATTGTAAGTTGACAACTGTAGTTCTTCTGTGTTCTGTGTTTTTCAATCTTGGCCACTTGGAGATGTATGGACTTCAACTCCCAGAATTCCATAGCCAAATATGCTGGCTGGGGAATTCTGGGAATCAAAGTCCACACATCCTCAATAGAATAGAATTAGAATTAGAATTTTTTATTGGCCAAGTGTGATGGGACACACAAGGAGTTTGTCTTGGTGCAAATGCTCTCAGTATACATTAAAGAAAAGATACATTCATCAAGAGTCGAGAATCATAAAGTGCGACACTTAATAATAGTTATAGGGTACAATAAGCAATCAAATCGTACTAGGAAACAGTCAATATAAATGTAAGGATACAAGCAACAAAGTTACAGTGATACAGTCCCAAGTGGGAGGGGATGGGTAATAAGGAGGGATGAGAAGTTTAATAGTAATAGTAGTGCAGACTTTGTAAATAGTTGAACAGTGTGGAGGGAATTATTTCTTTAGCAGAGTGATGGCGTTGGGGAAAAAACTGTCCTTGTGTCTAGTTGTTCTGGTGTGTAGTGCCCTATAGCATCGTTTTGAGGGAAGGAGTTGAAGCAGTTTGTGTCCGGGATGTTAGGGGTCTGTAGATATTTTCACAGCCCTCTTTTTGATTCGTGCAGGATACAGGTCCTCGATTAAAAGCAGGTTGGTAGTAATTGTTTTTTTTTCTGCAGTCGTAATTATCCTCTGAAGTCTGTGTCTGTCCTGTTTAGTTGCAGAGCCGAACCAGACAGTTCTAGAAGTGCAGATAACAGACTCAATCCTTCCTCTGTAAAATGTATCAGCAGCTCCTTGGGCAGTTTGAGCTGTCTGAGTTGGCGCAGAAAGAACATTCTTTGTTGTGCTTTTTTGATGACGTTTTTGATGTTAGGTGTCCATTTTAGGTCTTGTGATATGATAGAACCCAGAAATATGAAGGTCTCTACTGTTGATACAAGTAACCAAGGTTAAGAAAAACTGGTTCATTTGTACACCGGGAAGAAGAAAATGTGGGCCACATTTTCCAAGGGCCGGAGCATCGCACTGTGCTTTGATCTAAGCCTACCTATTCTCAAATTTGGGCTTGTCCTTCTTCCCGGCTTTTCTCTCTCCAAGCTAATTTCCTATGTTTCATTGTGTTGCAGGCCGCAACGAGTGCCAAGAGATCCCCAACGTCTGCAGCCACGGGGATTGTGTCGACACGGAAGGGAGTTACCTTTGCATCTGCTACAACGGGTTCAAAGCCACGGGGGACCTGACCATGTGCATGGGTCGGTATCGTAGGGGTTCGATGTCCTTACGGCACACCAGCCCTGCGGAGATGCCTCCTTCCTTCATAAAATTATAGTCCTGGTTATAGACCGGGGTTGCTAGTTCCACCGGTTGTTAACAATACACACACAGAATAATAAGAGTTGGAATGGACCTGGGAGGTCATCTAGTCCAACCCTCTGCTCAGGCAGAAATAAATAGAATAGAGTAGAGTAGAACAGAACAGAATAGAGTAGCAGAGTTGGAAGGGACCTTGGAGGTTATCTAGTCCATCCCCCTGCTGAGGCAGAAATAGAATAGAGTAGAGTAGAGTAGAATAGAATTTAGAATAGAATATAGAATAGAATAGTATATAGAATACAATATAGAATAGAATAGAATAGAATAGAATAGAATAGAATAGAATAGAATAGAATAGAATAGAATAGAATAGAATAGAATAGAATAGAATAGAATAGTTGGAAGGAACCTTGGAGGTCTTCTAGTCCAACCCCCTGCTCAAGCAGGAAACCTTACACCACTTCAGGCAAATGGTTATCCAATCTCTTCTTTAAAATGTCCAGGGTTGGAGTAGTTACAGTGACGTTGTTCCCCTGATTAATTCTTCTCACTGTCAGGAAATTTCTCCTTAGTTCTAGGCTTGTAGACTTCAACTCCCAGAACTCCTGAGCCCAGAATTCTGGGAGTTGAAGTCCACAAGGTCATAAGGGGCCCTCGTTCCCCATCTCTAGGCTAGTGAGATAGGTGGCCTGTGCATCTAATAAATAATGGTATTTCCCTCTCATCCTCGCGTGGCCGTTTCCTCGTGCGCCCGGCAGACATCGACGAATGTGACCGCCAGCCCTGTGGGAACGGCACCTGCAAGAACACAGTGGGGTCCTACAACTGCCTCTGCTTCCCAGGCTTCGAACTGACCCACAACAACGACTGCATGGGTAAGGGGGCACGGTTGGGAGAAGAGGAGGGCCCAGCCGAGCCTCCAGGAATGGTGATGCTGACCCCCCCCCCCACATCCCACCCTGCTCTCCCTACAGATATTGACGAGTGCTCCTCCCTGGCTGGGCAGGTTTGCCGCAACGGACAGTGTATCAACAATGTGGGGTCCTTCCGGTGCCTGTGCCAGGAGGGCTATGACCACACACCGGACGGCAAGAATTGCATTGGTGGGTATCTCCCGAAGTCATTGGGAAGTGTTGAGAGAATCAACCGTGTTGTCTGCCTCCTCTTCTTTTGCTTAATAGACACAGCCCTCTGCCCATATTTGCTCGTATTTCTTCTTCCTAGAAGGGTAGAGTTGGAAGGGATCCCCCAAAGGTCATCTAGTCCAACCCCCTGCAATCTGCAGGCAAGCCAATTCAACCTGTTGAAAAACTTCCAAAGAGGTTCTCCTATTCCACCTCCTGTCTCCGTTGCCCTTCTCAATCGGGTCCCGTTTGCCTACTACATCTTTTTCAAGATGCCGCGCCCAGATCTAATCCAGTGGCAGGTAGTCCTTGACTTACGACTATTCATTGAGCGATGACAACGCTGAAAAAAAAGGGACTTACAACTGGTTGTACTTGGAAAAGGTCGCAGGGTCACATGATTGCAAAAGACAATCTTCCCAGCCAGCTTCTGACTTGCAATGGCGAAGCCATCAGGGCAGCCAGAAAACCGCAATCATGTGACGTCTCGCTTAAGGACCGCGCCAATTCACGCTGAATTTTCTGGTTCCGATTGTGGTTGTAAGTCGAGGAGTATTTGGACTTTACTCAGATGAGGCGAATAAAGTATAAATATGTATTCCCATCGTTTGGAAAAATAACGATCTAGCATTGCACTAATTGCATTGGCTTTTTTTGCAGCAGCTTCACAACTGCAGGCTTGCTTGGTTAACACACACACACACACACAAACACACACACAGAGTTCCAAATTTTCCTGTCCGCTGGATTGCTGGGGCGGAAAGAATTCCTGTTCGTTGGGATCGCTCTAGGTTACAACCTTCATTCGTGACCATTTGAAGTGAACAACGCATGAAGTGACTTACAACGGTTTTCACACTTATGACCCTTTTAGCATTCCGCCCCCCCGCAGTCCCATGATCAAAATAAGGATGCTTGGCAGGCAACTGGCTTGTATTTATGACGGTGGCAGCATCCCGGATCTCATGTGATTCCCTTTCTTGATGAAACAAATCCATGGGGAAGCCGGGTTCCCTTAACAACCATGTTACTAATGTAACAACGGCAGCGATTTGCTTAACAGCCATAGTAAGGAAGGTTGTAAAATGGAGCAAAACTCACCGAACCACTGCTTAGCAACAGCAGTTAAGTCAAGGACTGCCTGCATAAGGCTGGACGGCTTGATTTCCAAAGGCTTAGCCAGTGTCTCCTATATCCACACGGTGTCAGAAACCCTCCCTGATCTCTAGGGCAGGGAGAGCAGCTCCCAGCTATGGGGAAGGTAATTTGGGTTGTTCTTTTTTCTTCCACGCAGACATCAACGAGTGTGTCAGCCTGCTGGGGAGCTGTTCCCCGGGAACGTGCCACAATTTGGAAGGCTCCTTCCGTTGCATCTGCCCTCCCGGCTACGAAGTGCAGAACGACAACTGTATCGGTAAAAAGCACCCTAGCACTTAGATTTATATACCACTTCACAATGCTTTTACAGCCCTCTCTAAGCAGTTTACAGAGTCAGCAAATTGCCCCCAACAGTCTGGGTCCTCATTTTACCAGCCTCGAAAGGAGGGAAGGCTGAGTCAACCTTGAGCCAGTCAGGATTGAACTCTTGGCTGTGGGCAGTTAGACTGCAGTGCTGCATTCTCACCACTGGGCCACCACAGCCCTTTCTTCCTTTTCTTCCTTCCTTCCTTCCTATCCCTCCTTTCCTTCCTTCCTTCCTTCCTTCCTTCCTTCCTTCCTTCCCTCCTTCCTTCCTTCCTTCCTATCCCTCCTATCCTTCCTTCCTTCCTTCCTTCCTTCCTTCCTTCCTTCCTTCCTTCCTTCCTATCC